AACCCCCATTTCTGCCCCTCATGCCTCACCGTGGATGGGTGTTGAACCGCACCAGGGTGTTGCGAGTGATGCTCTTTTTCCCTCTCTGGTTTCCCAGGCCATCCTGGAGACCCCCGACAGGCAGCTAACGTTGAACGAAATCTATAACTGGTTCACACGGATGTTTGCCTACTTTCGGAGGAACACAGCTACCTGGAAGGTGAGAGCAGCCCTGGGGCTCACCCCATCCCACTGGGGCTGCAGGAGATGCTCCAGTCTATATGGGCATCTATTATAGAGCACCAGTTCCTTGCACAGCTCTGAGATGATGGTGATTTTGTGGATAAATCCCACATTTTTCCCCTCCAAAATGCATCCCCGTTGTGTGGGGACACGTTGTAGTAGGATATGGCAAAGAGCCGTGCTGTAGAAATCCAGGTTGGAGTACAGCCACCCACCGCAGCCTGGGGAGAAGGGCAGAGAGAAGAGCAAGACACTGGAAATACCAAATCAGGTTGATGATGACCCAGGCAGGTGGTGTGCTGAGAGCAGGATGTGCCATAGCCAGGTGAGGGGAAGCTGCTCGGGGCAGCCCATGGTTGCAGGGACTGCTCCCCCCTTGGGTATGTAGAAATCAGGAACTGAGAAGATGCATCTCCAGGAGCGGGTGGTGGTGAGAAGGAGCAGTTATTGCCCTGACAGGGGAGGTTTATTTGTTGTTTCCTGCTGCGTGTATTTACCGAGTCACGGCTGCTTCCTGCAAGAAGTGGCAGAGGGAAACCAACCCTTAAAGAAACCAGAACAAGTGAGATGCAAGCGAGATGGTGCCTTTTGAAAGGGTTAAGGAGGAATTGCTTCTTCTGGAGCCCCCGTGTGTCGCTGCAGCAGATCGGAGCTGCCTGCAGCGGGGGTTTGCTTCTCACAGCAAACTTTGGGTAAATACTAGTTGCTTTGGCTCCAGAGTGCTACGGGTGGCCTCTGGCTTCAGCATGGCCCAGACTGAGTATCCGGAGGGAGGCTGTGGGAGGGAGCAGTCAGAGGTGGCAGGGTCATTTTTGGTGCTGGCCATGGCCCGGCATCAGCCTGGAGTCCCCCTCATGGCACTCGTGCAGCACTGCAGGCCGGCAGCGCATCCCTGGGTGCATGGCTGGGCACATCCCTGGGCTGGCTTCGGCCTGTGGGGGCACCCCCAGGGTTGGGAGCTGGTGGGGAGCACTGGGACCGGGAGCCTGGAGCAGCCGTCCCTGCTCCCAGCCCAGTGTCTCACCATCCAGTGCAGAGCAGGGACTGTCCATGGCAATACTTCACCTGCTCCGTGCCTCAGTTTCCCCACCTGCACAGTGAGATAATGGCAGCTGAAAATGCATTTTTCCTGCCCTTTTACTAGCTGAAAGGAATAAATATTTTGGGGTTTTTTCTCTGTGGCTCCCCACACCCTGTGTTCTCCAAGGGCAGATTTGATGTCTTAGAGAAGGGCGTCCCCCAGCCCTTCTGGTTCCCTTGTTACTACTCTATTTTTCAGCTGTTCTTTAACCAAAAGGGGATTTAAAAGAGCTGCAGGGCGATGATTCCCTTCACAACCCTGTGTCCAAGGCCAGTCATCCTTCAAAGGAGGAGGAAAAAATACTCTTATTTCCACTCTTTGGAAAACCACAGTTTCTGCTGTGGCTTCTCCTTGTCTCTGTAGCTTCCCCTGGGATGGGGCAGGGGTGCTGGGTACCCCACCACCACAGTGGGAGCCCCCCCAGCACGGCACAGGGAGCAGGGCTGCGGGTGTAGAGCAAACATCATTAGCAAAGACAGATGAGAAGCAAACAGAGCAGCCAGGTCTGGCACTGAACAAATACTCTGTCAAAATACAAAAGCCACTTTAGGATGAGGCAGGGGACCCACTGCTGACACCGGGGGGAGGATTCCCATGTCAGGGATCTCATCTGGCACCTCTTCCATGTCCTGGGACCAGGTCCCTGCCCAACACCCAGCACCAGGGATGGGGCATCCCAGGCTCCGATGAGGCTGAATCACGTCCTGCCCCATGCCAGGATTTATTTTCTCTCCACTTTCGCTTCTGCAAGCACATACCCACTGATGCCCCCAAGCAGGGGATTTCACTAGGGGAACAGGGGGGACATGTGCCTCCATGCGCAGGAAAGGTTTCAGCTTTGCCACGCTTCTTGCCTTTAATCAGGGCTTTGTTTGGACGAGGAGTCCCCTGCGCGCACAGGAAGGAGGAAGGGGAGCATGGGGCAGGATCCGGGAGGAATTCCTGTGTTTGCTCAGCAGGGAACAGGGGTTCAAGGGCAGCAGCAGGACCCAGCCCCGGTTGGGCTTCAGACCCCCAGGCATGGGATGCAAGGATAGAGTTGGGGCCTGGGTTCATCCTGCTCCCTTGCGAGCAGCCATTCCCTCCTCGCTGGGTGATGCCAGCGCAGGACCAGGGATGCCTCAGTCCCGTATCCCAGATGGAGCACATCCCTCTGGGTAATGGCACTGGCTCTACAGCGCACTGAGCATCACCCGAGGAGCTGGGCCAGTGTGTTCCTGGTGTGACCCAGGGGTTTCCAGTTGCTCCCAAAGAAATCACCTCAAACAGCACCGATGTGCCTCAGTCTCCTTCCCCAGAATGAGGCAGGGAGCTGTTTGCAAAGTTCCATTTCGGGCTGGCTCTGCCAAATGGTGAGAGGAGCAGGAGCCATTGCAGCCCTGCTGCTGTGCAGCTCTGCTCTCAGCGGGGCTGTCGTGGCAGCACCAGGCACCGTGGCACAGCCGGGGACACCAGGGCAGCAGGCACAGGGCAGCAGCTGGAGGATGATGGATGGATGGATAGATGGATGGAAGACAAGGGAAGGAGCCCCGCTTTGTTTGGTTTTGTCCTTAAATCAGAAAGGAGAAGGGGCGATGGTGCAATGTGATGAGTTTCTGGGAACTCCAACACTTCCCAGCACGGGGTGGGGGGGGGTCAGTCCTTGTGTCTCCTTTTGCCTTGTTGTGTTGGCCGGCTTCTTTGTTTATACAGCCCCCGTTCGACCTTTTAAATTGCTGTTAATGTTTTAGCGTAACGAATTAGTCTCTCATCACGAATCAGGACTCGAAATAAAAAAAAAAGAAATAAAAAAAAACCCCTCCGAGGCCAACTTCCTGAAATTGGGGTCATTCTCATTTGCAAGGCAGAGAATCTGAGAACCTTAATGCAAGGAAATTTATTCAAAGGCAGAGCCCCGGCGTGATTAGGCCCTTTGTAATTATAGCTCGGAGAGATTCCACTCCAGCCTCCTGCCTCCCTCATGGATTAGCAAGTGAGTCGGAAAAATACACAGGATTTAATTAGAGGCAAATTAAAATTGGTAATGAAATAGGGGCAGTAGCAAATGGCAGGGAGTTGGAAGGGGAAAAGGGAGCTGGTATCTCTCGGGGCTGCGCTGTCTGCCTACGTGTGCGTCTCTTTATTTTACATTTAGAAATGTAAAGATGGTCGATGTAAAGAAGAAAGGGAGGGAAAGGACCAAAAAGGGAGGGCGGCGGGAAGAAAAAGAAAGGAAAAGATTAACTGGCTTTGCTTAGCATCACTGAGTGAGCTGCAGTGGAGAGGGCGGCTCTGCCCCTGGGTCCTAGCGGGTGTCACTTATCCCTTGTCCCACACTGTCTTCATCTTCCTCAGCATCTGGCCAAGGTCCACGAGGCAGGGTTGTGTCCCACGTGTGGTTTGGGGGCTCAGCTCCCACCTGCCTTGGTGCTGATGGGGGGAGCACTGGCCGTGTCCCTGCGTGTCTCTGCAGAGCGTTGGGCTGCAGACAGGACGGCCCAGGGACATGGGGAGCCAGAGGGGCTGGGTGAGGAGGAGGATGGTGAGGAAGAGGAGGGGTCTGGGCAGAGGGGTGAGGGCCGTGCCGCTGAGCTCTCCTGCCTGCTCTGCCCACAGAACGCCGTCCGCCACAACCTGAGCCTGCACAAGTGCTTCGTGCGCGTGGAGAACGTCAAGGGGGCCGTGTGGACCGTCGACGAGCACGAGTACCAAAAGCGAAGGCCACCAAAGATGACAGGGTGGGTCCTTTCCTGCAGGATGCAGCCCGGGAGCCACACTCGCACCTTCCCCCCGCTGCCAGCCCCTGTCCCTGGAGCTCATCCCTGCATCCTTCTGCTTTCTCTTTTTGCAGGAGTCCGACTTTAGTCAAAAACATGATTTCAGGACTCGGTTACGGAGCACTTAATGCAAGTTACCAGGTAAGGACCCAATCCTGTCCCTGACAGGGGCTTGGGGGCACTAAACCTTCACTCTGCAGCCCTGTGTGGTCTCACAGCCTCCCTTCCTGAGCCGATGCCGCTCTCTGTTGCAGGCTGCGCTGGCAGAGAGCAGCTTCCC